CTTTCACACCCCCTATGGCTAGATGCCTCTTCCTGTTCCCCTACTGTGTCTCCCCTATTCTGGGGCCAGAGATTAGACCACCAGCCAGGAGGGTGAGAAGTCTGGAAAGAATTGTATGTAGATGGATGACAGAAGTCCTTAAAAAGGGAAGCTCTTTTTTCTTGGAGAGACTTCTCCTGAGACTTCTCTCTCCTAAGCGGACTTGGAGTCTCCTCCTAAGCTGACTTGGGAAACATAAAGTTTTCTTAAAGCAACCTCGAGTTTTGTTCACTGAGAAACTGTTAGCTTGAATGGTAGGTTCACCAAGATTTATGTATTATAGATGAAAAATAATGAAAATATAATCATTAGCTGGATCCTTGTGCTGGGAACATGGCATGTGCTGTATATACCATTTCTCACTAGATGGTATACTCTCCCATGGCAGGGAAGGTGCATAAATCCCATCCCTGAGTACAGCAGGCCTTCACCACTTCCAATGGACTTTAACTACAAGGCAGGCCATAAATTCCAGAGAATGTGTCCTTAAAGCAGCTGTCAGTAATGGATGGCATTGGTGGGTAAATGCCAGTTTTCCTCCACCCTTTAGGGCATGATTCTAAGGCATGCCCCACCTTAGCTCCAGAGGACAGTGTCTGGAACATAGAAATCTATGACAGATTGTATGGCCCCATGCACAGGCTCCACACAGGAGCCTTCAACACAGTTCTCAGTGGTGTACGTTGGAATCACCTCCCTTTGCCTGCTTACTCTGGAGGTACTGGCAAGCAGAAATCCATGATAGCAAGGCCATGTGGGAAATAACCTGTCAAACACAAGTCTAAAAGGTCTGGAATCTGCAGACTGTCAAAGTGCTTATGACAAGGCATCTTACCACAGCTTCCTTTGGGGAGGGTAATATAGAGAAAAGTGAATGGTATCATCTCCAATATAGCATTAGCCTCCACAAGCAGCATCCCCTAGAACAGCTGTTAGGGAAATGATTTAAAAGCTCAGAGGGTCAATGTCGTAGTGTTCCAAGGTAGAGTATTTGTCAGCATGTCTCTGAGCTCAATTTCTGGCACAGAAAATTGAAAATAAATCAACAAGGAAAAACCAGCGTGCATGCTCCTGAATTCAGGGTTCTCTGGACCTCTGGTACGCTGTGTACATGGGGACCTTAGTGTCTTTTGTTTGACTGTCAGTTCTCTGAAATTAAAAATGACCCAGTTTACTTGTGATCTGTTTTAAATAATGTGAGTCTCTAATAAAGGAGACCAGAGACAAACTTCACGTTCTATTATATTTTCATGACATTACATGTCAAATTTTCCTTTCATTCAAACAATTAAAATTCTCAAGATAATTCATTCTGTCCCACTGAAAAATCCCCTATCCCATCAGCCAGGAATACCCAAGACCCTCAAGGAGTTATACTACGAATTGATTGCAGAAGGACAAGTTAATTAACCCCAAGTGAGAAACATGGGGTTGCTTTGAACAGCAGGTGACATTGCTATTACAAACAGTGTTTAGTGTATTAATGATGCAAAGGTACCCTCTCCATCAATTGCTTATTTCTTCACTGCAGGCTGAGACCCTTTAGCTCAAAAGCTTATTGGCACCAAATTCAATTTTTTACAAACCCAATTAGTTTTAAAACACATTTAGGCAAGTGTTTAGCTATTTAGAGCCCACTTGCTTTGTTTAGCCCTTGAAACCTCACCCCATAGCTGCTGCCCATGGATAAGGGAGGACCTTGTACTTATATTGCTCCAAGTCATGGGAGCTGCTACAGGATGTCACACAGAGGCGCCCCAAACTCTTCTCACTGTTTTTGGTTGCTTGCTGTTAATTTTTTACTAAGACATATAACAGTTAATATTCCTTCAGACCCACAGAAGTGCCATTTCAATGAATGCATGATCAATCCCTTTTTAGAAGGCATTTGTGCGTTAATCACATACAATTTGCTAACAGTTGAATACTTGAGTAACAAAAATATATATAGTACATAGAAATGAGTGGATCATAATAAATTATAATTAAATATATAAGAAGCAATAAAATATATTACTAAACTACAATGAGCTCCAATATTTTCAGAAAATACCCTGAGAACTACTTAAATGTCAAGATTTCACCAGCATTGAAATAACTCCAGAAACTATTTAATTTCACATTTAAAAATTTTTGAATTTCAAAAAAATTATCTGTAAAATCTCATTTTGAACATCATCATTTCTAATGCAATACCAATATTACTTATACTATTTTGGAGTCCATATTAGCAGTACATCTCACAACCAAAATGGATGGAAACTGGCTTCACTGCTTTAAATGGCAGCAAAAATTGGTTTTGGTTTAGGCATTCATGAACTTCAATGCACTCAAGTTTTTCTGGTTTAACAAAGCATTTGCCTATATCCCTTCATATGGCCAATCACTAATATGCATGGTCCTGCTCTTACACTGCTGTTGCTAGACACATGACTCTTTCCTCCAGGAAGTCTCACCTTCCATTCCTCCCCTCTCCTCTCCTCACCTCTCCTCTCCTCTGCAATAAATGATGGTCTTTTTACGAGACTCTCTCTCTAGATGGTACTGAGGAGCTTCCCATCTCTTACAATCCCATCCATCCCCACCCACCAAAGCTTGTTGTATGTCTCACTCTCTAATCCTTCAAGCCCTCTATAGGATTTTGTAAATCAACAGCATCACCTGGAGCTTGGCATGTGGGGCCCCACCTCATGGTCTACATAAGCAGACTCTGAATATTAAAATTACAGCTATGTTCACTGTCATTCAAAATTCGTGTGTGCATTAAAATTAGGCTATGCTGGCAATTAAGATCAGTTCTGCAGCTAAGTCCAGTGCATTTAAAGGGACATGAGTGATGAAGATGTCAACCCTCATCTGGCTGCACTCAGCCCCAGTGACTGTCCACTTGCCTATTTCATTGGTCCTTCTTTGCTGTGATGGCCATCAGCTAAAAGTCTCCTGACTCAAGAAATGAACTTTTTACAACAAACCCCTGGTCATTTTCACACACACACACACACACACACACACACACACACACACACACACCTGAAAGTTCATACAACCATAGTGGTTGTGCAGATATGTGACCAAACATCCTCTGGCAGATACAGTCCACTCACTTTCACACACACACACACACACACACAGAGAGAGAGAGAGAGAGAGAGAGAGAGAGAGAGAGAGAGAGAGAGAGAGAGAGAGGTAGAACATACTGGAAGCCCCTAGAAATCCCAGTACCAGCACCTGAGGCCAACCCAAAAGGAATCTTTTCAATTCCCTTAAATGGAATACAACAATCTCTACCTTGGCAGTGATGGGCAGATGCTAAGAAGCATAGGTAGGAGGTTCCAGGAACAAAAGAATATCTTCCACACAAAGGTGCAAGATCCAGTGAGTGATTCTGAATGATGCCTGCTTCTTTCCAGGAACACTAAAGTCTGTGCCTGGGGCACTACACAGGCGAGAATATCCCAATTACTAGCCTGAAATGCCTGAGTAATACTGCAAATTGCCTATGCCTATTCTGTCTGTATTTAAGAAATTATGTGTGCTTAAAGTCTCTGTGTATGCCTTGTAATCTTCCCCACCTACAACCTTGAAATGCATAATAATTGTTTTTAAACAAAATATGTAACTAATTCTACCCAATGAAATTCACTGAACCATAGTCAAGAGCTCTCTAATCTTTATTCAATAATAGTTCTTTGTATACAAATAAATTTAAACATACATCAGGTATGATTTCTCAGTCCACAGATTATGATCAACAACCTAAAAATAACCCAGAATGGATTCTAGGGGGATAGTGGTGAGAAACTAGTAAAATCAACAGTTATAACACCAGAAGTACCAACAAACAAAGGAGAGCTGGTAACAGCTGACCAGCAGACAGCAAAAGCCACTGAATACCACTAAAGGTTCCCACTCAAATTCAAATGTGCTTGCGGTGACAACCCTGTGGAAGGATACTATATGGTTTTGTATTCTCTTAATGAATTACTGGGTCATCAACACCATGTCATAATACATGTACTATTTCATCTTAATAAAGATGCTCAATGCTACATTTTATAAATATTCCTATAATAAGTAAATATTTTTACTTTGGGATCCTGACTCCTCCATCTCAGTTTCCACTCCTAAAATATACACATATGCAAGTCTCTGTCAACTGAATATCAGCACACCTATTTTGCCAGTTACCTAGACATCTACACTGATCTAGTACTGTGTTAGATGTTAATAAAGCCAAAATGAATAATAACCAATGCCAAGATAATAACTGGCCTGGGACTTAGAATGCAGCACAATGGAAAAGCATTAAGATGGCGGCCTGAATTCTATCCAAGAGCATCACAGAAAGGCAGAAGGATGGAGAGAGCGAGAGAGCAGGTGGGGTGAGGTAGGGAGAGGAAAGAAAGAGAGAAGGAGCAGGAGGTGCACAAAAGAATCAGACCTCTCTCTCAAGGAAAATTTACTTTCAGAAATCTCAGATGCTCTGGGGATAATTATTCAGGGCTGGTGGAGGCATTCTATCGAGTATAGGTTGAAAGAAAGCTCCATTCGGGTGAATGAGAAATAGCTTGGGAAATGGTGGTGGGTGACTCAGATGGGAATCTTCCAATATTATGAACATTTAAACAATTCATTGTATTCACTTGGTAGTCCCAACCCAGTGGAATGTACAAATAAAGTAATTAGACTCTGCCTATGGGAAATAAGCAGAATATCAAACTACCTTGAAATAATTTCTCTCATAGGAGTAAGTGAGAGAATAAAGAAGGGGGTAGACAGAGGTGGGTACTGCAGAAAGTTGACACATTCACTTTATAACCTCAAAATCTTGTGGGAATTGCTTTTGCAGCATAGAAGAAATGCAGGCAAAAACATCCTGGGAGCACAGTAAAAGTTCCTCTTCTCACCCATCTTTAAAATCAGCAGCCCCCTCTCCATTTCCTAGCACCAACCTAACCTACCTTCACTGAAGACAAAATCAGAGATGATGTCAAAGGGTTGGACGTGCACTGCAGACAGAACCATGGTGACAGTTTTCTGAGGATCGCTGGAGGCCAGAGAAATGGACTGCTGAGCCTGACACTCATAGGACATCCCAGCTGGAGTTACCAAGGCAGCGAGGTGATGAGAGTTGGCTGTGTGCTTTCCAGCTGCAGGAGAACCAAAGCATCAGTTGGGCTGGATGTGCCCTTGCTGCTCCTAGCCCAGGGAGCTCTCTGCCAAGTCCAGAACCTATGGGTGCCTCCTATTGGTGCTGCAGTCCCAGGGCTGGAGTTCCAGCAAAGACAAGGAGTGGAGACCAAGGACCAAGTCCCCATTCTTTCTGAGACTGTCCTCATTAGATAGCAATTTGGGATTACATTTTGAAAGAAGTGTGCTGCCTGAAAACACAGCCCTGTTGACTAAAGCCTCGATTGGTAATTCCAAAGAGAGAGCAGTGGCACAGCTCTCCACAGTTTGCACCCCATTTTTCGCCTTTTCCGGCTCATGCTTGCTGTCCTTTCTCTTCCCTTCTCTTTCTCCACTCATCCTATAGGAAATTCTTGATTATTTTGGTGAAAGGAAAAACGTAATCGTTTTACTGCAATCATCAAAACATAAAGAGGAAAAGATGGTGCCAGCATTCTTTTGCATCCTCAGAAGAGATCCCTTTCCAGCCCACAGCATGAGGGATGGTAGGCCTCATTACAAGCGAATTCTGCTTTTGTTTTAAAATACATTTAAATGTATCTCTGGTCTTTGGTGGTGATTGCAGATAGTCACTTTGTTATTTCAGGTATGGGTGCCCTTCTCCTTTGGATGATTCTGCAAGACCAGGGTGAGGCTGGGTGGTGAGAGCTAATGAATTAAGATGCAAGATACAAAACCTGCCTGGGGCGGCTGCGGTTAAAGCCCCAGAGAGCTATGCTGTTGTGCAAAGAAAGATCCTGCAGCACACCCAACCCTCTCACAATATCTTCTTGCATTTTTTAATGCACGAGAGCAAACCAGTCGGTGATGCAGAGAAAAAAATAGCAAAACTCATTGGTGCCCCTTCCATGGCAATGTCATGTTTCAGCTTGAGTCTGAAGGATTGTTGGCGCAGGATTTCCTGAGGACACAGTGATCCTCCCACTTCTTTGACCCTAGAGAGCAAGCAGGCCAGGCTAGGTTTGCCCTCAGAGGGCAAATCCCAGAGCTGTTCCCAAGACCCAGAGACAGGACACATGTTTCTGGCTTGCTCTCGCTACTGTGCGGAAGCTTTTCCATCCCCACTGGACTACTTACCACTCACTGGGTCTTTAAAGTGAGTCTTCTCTGAGGTATCATAGACAAACTGCACCTTGCCCAGCCTCCAAGTCGCCTCTGGTCCTTTGGAAGTGTTGTGACTTTCCTGCCAAAACAGGGAAACTCCTGTGAACCGCTCCGACTACTTTATAATGAACAACCCAGAGGCCACTACCGCGCTCATCCACGCGGACTTCACCATCCCTCTGCATCCCCAGGACCAATTACCTTTACAAATAGCATTTTGAGTGTGTAGGCGCGATCTACCCAGAACACCTGCAGCTCCGACTCGTTGTGGCCACATCGGCCATTCACCTCAGCTCCCCTGGTCAAGGCGATCTCAGCCTGCTCTGTGATCAGCTGGGAACACACACGTCCCGCGCCCCCTCAGCGCGCGGGGCCCTGGCGCGGATCGGGAAGGGCTGCGCGTCCAAACTCTAGCTTGCAGGTTTGGGCTTGGGCGCTCCTTTGCACGCGCGCTCCGGGGGTCCAAGAACATGCGGGTAGACTCTTACGTGCACACCCCTCCAGGAGGGGAGCAGAGAGGGGGTTTACTTTTAAAGCAGGCAGGGCGAGCAGAAGGCGTTGCAAGCTGGAACCCCCATGCAGCATTCGGGAACAGCCTGCAGGGGTTTGGGGGGAAGAGGCGGGCAACTGAGGTCTTGGCAGGGCTAGAAGGGAGGGTGCCCTTCGGCCCTGCAGCCCTAGGGGCAAGCTGGGGAGGAAAAGGTTCCTTACATCCACGTAATTGTTGGCCCACACATCATAAGGTACTATAAATTTGGCTGCAAACTCTGCCATGAGACACGTCGTCCCATTTTCCCGCACCACAAATATGTCTTTCCCGGGGTTCGTGGAAAGGCCCGAAAGATTTTCCACTTCTTGTTCCGCCACGGTTTGGGCCATTGCATCTGCAGAGCAAGCAAAGCAATCCCATTGATTTCTGTAGCCCGTGGCTTTAGGAGACGGTTCTCTGCAGGCTTTGGAGTGGCAAAGTTCACAGCTAGAAGCTGTGTGCTCCACAAGCCTTTTCTCTAACTCAGGGCTACCAAATTCTGATTCACTGACTATGATTTATAATGAAAACAGAATCTAAGGCAAAATTAAGTCCTTACTTACAATACTACTGGGCTTTTAAGAAAACACACACTTGGGGGGTTAAAGCTGAATCTTTCTTGCCAGTGTCGGGCCCTCCCCCTCCCTATCGTGAGTACTGTCTATCGTGTACGTCTGGTTGATGCCACACAGGTGTTGTGGCTCTCAGGGAGTTCTGTGACACCGATGGGTCATCCCCACCGCCAGCCCCAAATAAACACAGCACATAAAGACCAGTTTTAAACCCAAAGCTACTGGTTTTACTCTGTGAATTGGATTCTCTGCAGAATGCATTCTGCACTCCTGGTCCCCAGATGCTACTCACGGAAGAGCATCAGGAGAATCCGAAGTCTGTCTCCGCTGAGAAGGGCTCTTCCTCGGAGATCCATTCTCGCAGTTACCGCGAACCAGGCAGACGTGTTGCTGCTGCAAAGGCCGCCCAGGGAGGAAATCCCTCAAAGTGGCTAAGGGGGGCGGGTGGACAGGGAGGAGCAAGGGCGCGAGTCAGTCGGGCGCGCGCTGCACCGAAGGCTGTGGCTCTCCCAAAGCACACTGCAGAGGAAGCGCTCAGGATGCAGTTGCTGTCCACGCTGAGAATGCTGGAAATGACGAGGTTGTGTTTCAGGGACTCGTAATTTGGCTGTCTTAGAGGGCCAATGGGATTGGGATGGTGTGTGGGAGGAAATGTCTCCCTAGGTCTGTTTTCTGTTCTGCAGTGGTGGTATCTGCAAAGATGAGTCTATCTGTCTTAGGAAACTTAATGCCACCCTCGGACTTACTAAACCCTCCCACCAGGTACAGTCAGTATGTAGTGTGGATAGAACACCACTGGAACCCTGTATCCTGGAGAGACATCTGCTCCCAAAAGAAAGAGAGCTCAGATTGTTCGTGCTTTAAAGAAGGAGGGTAGGCAGGAACAGAGAAGGAAAATGCTATGGCAACTGTTTCTGGCTTTCAGAGACATTCTATGGGCTCGATAGCTTCTAAGCTTAAAACAAAGACACCTCCTCAAAAAGAGAACCAAACGATGCAGCATATCCTTGTGGACTAAGTGGCCCGTGAGTCCCACTCTCTGAGCACACATGGCCTGAGCTAGCCTCGCTCACTAAGTTGTGATCTCTCTGTTAAGAAGGTTGCAAATAAACCTGAAGCTTGTGCACATACAGGGTTATCTGGGGTCTGGTAGGACAGAAATTTTAGAACTCTCCTGTAAGTGATGACCCGAAGTTATGTAATGAAAACACACAGGTATTACTCCAGAGCTTCTAGTGGAGCAGAAAGGCAAACATTACTGGTTAATTCCTTTATTTGCATCTGGTAGTTCGCTGAATTTTTTAATTCTTGCTCAATGAATCAGAATGCATCTCTTTGGGAATAGACATAGTGCTCTCATTAATTGTAATGATGTCCAAATATTTCGTTTATTAGATATTGTGTTAGGTCAATAAATAATAATTGCCTTAAACACATGCCATAACCAATGTCACGGTAAAGGACAAACTACAAAGCATTTTTGCCTAAGTCATCAGTTTGAATCTCCCCATGACTTTAGAAGCCAAGCAAGGGAAAATATAGGTTGTTGTTATATCTACCCAATGTGAGACATTGAGAAATTAAATGACCTTCTCAAATGTCATATGGCCAGTTAGAGTTAAAATAGAAAAGAATCACATGTTTTAACTTTATAGTGATCATATTCATTTCTCTTTATATAACACTTTGACTCAAAACACCTTTGCAAATATTTTTTAAATGACAAACAGGCTGAAACCTAAAAATATCAATTCACATTCTTGACATGTACAAAGTGCTGACTTAAGTACAGACATTCTAACATAGTATTTGCTTCAAACTATCGATATATTTCATTGCATTTAACTTAAAAAATTCTTTCATCAAGAGTTAGATTACTAGCAACTCAAATAATAAAGCAACACTTGGATTAATGCTGCAGCTTTATATCTTTTGGTATATATTTGGTATTTCATCAAAAAATTCACAAGTCTTATGTAAATGATTACACACAATTGCAGGCAAACTGTGACTAATGATTTCAGCTCATATACATATATATCTTGTTATGTTAGCAATAATCAGGTTACATTTATTTTCATCTGGTACCATAAAACTTATAAAGCAAGGAAGATGGATTTACAATTAGAATGTATTACTTACATTAGTGACCTTCTACAGGATTGAACTTTTCTTGTTGAAGAAATTGTAGTATGAAGACAGTGGTTATCAACTTTCCTAATCCTGTGACCCTTTACTACAGTTCCTCATGTTGTGGTGGCCCAGGAACATAAAAATATTTTGTAACTATTTCAGAACTGTAATTTTGCTACTGTTATGAACTGCAATGTAAGTATCTGTGTTTTCCAATGGTCTTAGATAAAAGGGTCCTTCAACCTCTGAAGGGTTACCACCCACAGGATAAAAACCACTGATTTAAGGGCTGGTTAGGTCAGTTAAAGTACTAAATTTTAAAACTATTCAAAATAAAATACAGATTGAAGCCATCCATAAACCTTAACTGAGTACCAAACACTTGCATTGTGTATAGTTGAGATAAACAAAAAGCAGGAGAAGTACCTGTAAAAGATTATAGTGATTTCTCTCCTGGTGCATTATTACAGATATCATCACCACATGAGTTGTTGAAAGAGAAGCTAAATTAATTAATGATGGTCTCCTATCATAATAAGACAGTAGATGGGAAATATTCTGGACCAGTGATCTTAACCATTCTGCATGACTTGTGAAATGTGGTTCCTTGATAATTATTTCTTTCCATTCCTGATAGAAGTGATTCTTTGTTGACAACAAAGAGTATTTAAGCAAGTTAAATGGGGAAAAAAATGGAAGGGACAATTCAAATTTTTCCACCTGGGAATACCATCTTCAAAGACCAATGAATGAAGTGTTTGTGTGTGTTTGATCTTAAACATGGCTTACACATATAAATATCTATAAAGTGGTTCAGTTTATCACTGATGACTCTTATCTGCAATACAAACTGAATTATTAAATCTGCACCTTGTATCTATATTTAATTTAGGAACAATTTAATCATCTTGAAGAAGATATATTTGGGTCTTCATTGTAACCATAAAAGTGATAAAAGAAAATTTAGCAATAAATCATACTTTGAGATTTTGACAAATGGGGTTGGGAAGATGGCTTAGTACTAACTGCTAAGAGTACCCAGTTCAATTCTCAGCACCCACATGGCAGCTAACCACCATCTTTGACTCCAGTTCAAGTGACAGGATGCCATTTTCTCATTTCCATTTTACATACATAGTGCTTGGACATTCATACAGACAAAACATCTATACCCGTAAATAAAGATATTAACAGAGGTCTCCAGAATAAATTTGATTCATTTCTCACACCTGGAGTGTGAAAAGGTAAGAGAAATGATGTAAATGTGTGCACTTGTGTAGATGATTAGATGTGTCTATTTTCAAAATTTGGTCAACACCAAATGTCAGGCATAAGAATAACTCAGACACATTAGGTTTACAATTTCCAGTAGGTCTTCCAGGTTCTTTGGTGGACTCACCAATTCATTAGTTTTTGTGACTCTTCTGACATCTGATGGTCATTGTATGGTACATTGGTGAAAAAGCCTCTCCAGTTTAGGTAGGAGAAGGATCACATGTGAAAATACAGTGGGGATGGCATTAATGTGTGTGCAGTAATATTTTGGAGCAAAGGGATGAAGGCAACCACCTCAGGAGAAGAGAGGCTGTAAATTACAAAAAAAAGAGGAGCCTCTTGAGAAAGGAGGGTCTTGACAGCAATATCAAATGAACTAAGATGAAGGCAAAGCTATGCAGATGAAAACATGTCTTCATATAAGCGAACAATGCAAAGATTTGACTCTTCATATTTCCAGGTCTATGAGTTAGCAATAAAAGGAAATCAGGACCCAAACCCATAGTGTTTTGTGTACCATAACTGTTTGTATGGTTTCTCTGACAATTTATGTACACACATGTGTAAAACAATGGCATCTACAAAACTTGTTTCAAATAAAATTAAACTTTTCAAGTTGGTGCATCTCTATAATTGACCTGCATAGAATCAAGACACAATTAGGAAAACTAGGAAACATTGCTTATTAGAAAATCATGTTTATGGGCTTTACAAAGAAAAACTGGTCTTTGTTGCAGCTAAAATTTGGGTATTGATATTTCTACCCACCTTACAGTAATGTATAAAAATGATTCTGCTGTACAACACCAATGCTATACCAGCCAAGTGCACACAGAGATACAACATGAATCACTGAAGCAGGATAATTAATCTAAACTGAACTAGACTCACACACTTACTAAGCCGGAAATACTGTCACCCAAGCCTTTCCTTTGTTTAACTCATCACAGAACAACAGTATCATTGCATCAATCACTACAGACCTCAAATCCTCCCTAGAATAGAAAACAAATGGCGATAAGGACCGAAGTATAAGTTTTCATGAGAATATTTTGTTCATACACTGTCAAAAGCCATGGTATTTAGAAAGGATCTGGAAATTGAGATCTCAATGCTCTCAGTTTTCTTGCTCTTGCTGTGATTGCCTTTATTTTATAATTTATTTGGTCCCTCCCACATGTATTTCAACAAGAGTTGTTTTTACAAGGAGGGCAATCATCAAAAGAAGCAACCAGAATAATGACCCTTACATTGGTTGTGTTTATAGCAAGACCCGGAAAAATGTCATGTATGAATTCATTTCAAACAAATGGCTTCACCATAGAGGGGTGAAGAGACATGAGCATGCAAACCTTAGTATCATATCGAAGCAAAGTATCAGTTTCCATCTTTGTACCAGTCATTAGATAAATGTTCTGGCCAGGTTTTAGTTGGTTAGGTGAGGCTTCAGGTACTACCAGTGTAAGGTCTTAGACCATACAGTCTATGCTGCTTCAGTGTGTAACGTCTTTAGGCCACTGAGCAGTCTGACTACTTCTCAGCAGCAAGGAAAACTTCACTAAATTGGGGCAAAGTTAAAACAAGACTTATAGGAGTTTGTGATGTTTGCTGTTTCATCCTTTAAGATATCTTTCCAAGAAATAACTACACTGGGGACCTAAATAAGATTAGACAATATGAGATTCACATAGAATAATTTTTTACCTGATTTCTGTGATCATTTATGTGCTTAAAATCTCTTTTAGGAGGTGTCAGTCCCTAGCAAATCTAGTCATTTTAGTTACTCTAAATGTCTAGCTGAAATTATTTTCTATTACCTTGAAGCTAGGCTAAGGTGAATAAGGGCATTTGGGAGGCAGGATGAGAGTGGAGATTGGAGGCTTTTGTTCTCTGGTAGAAGTCATTCAAGCCCAGCAGTTAAAGATATGTATAGGTCTGCCTGTAGTCTTGATGCCTTTACCCTAAGCTCATAAAGTCCTGAGCCTAGGAAAGACCTTGCTCTTAGCACTGTGTTGTTGGCTTCTCTACTATCCTTTATGCCCCAAGAAGTCTTGTCAGACTAATAGAGCTGGGAGAATAGGGACTGAACCTCCTTAGCAATCTGCTTTCTGGTCTCTGGGGTCTCTATTGTGCCTGCGGACTGGAGCCAGAGTAAGCCTTAAAGTATTGAAGAAGAAGAGAGATCAAGTTGCAAAGATTTCACTTCTCCCCCCCGCCCCCAAACCACCAGCTCCCTGTCCTCACCTTAAGGAAACTGTCCCAGTCATCCAGGTCCAGGTAAGAACTCCATTGCCACGGGGTGCGCTTAAGATTCTGGCGGCCCTTGGATTTCTGTAGCACTCTGGGCTCCAAGTAGGGGTTTCAAAACAGACAATGGTTCTGCTCAAGAAACGGTAGAAACAGAGAGGGCCT